GGCGCACGTTTCTCGAAAACGGTTCTGCATAATCACTTTCCATTGAGCGAGTGTTTTTCCCTGCCGTCGCTCACCTGTATCGATCGCCACAGTTTCCATCGATTTATATTCCTCGTTAAAACCGCGAATCCATGCGAGAGAGAGAGAGAGAGAGAGAGAGAGGGAATTTTTGCTCGGTTAGATCGTAACGATCCCGTAACACGGGTAGCGGGATACAAGCAAGCTTTATTACTACGCGTTGCGTCGCCACAGTTCCATTAAACGCTGCCTGCACCGGAACGCGACGAAGAAACGGCGTTAACGGGCCCTCCTCCCCTCGATTTCCGCCCGCCATGCTGTTTTCGATCAGCAACACGAGTCCCTCGTGTTGAATCACTCGATCCTTTTGCAGTCGTGCGTGAACGAAATTGGTGATGATTATCGTCAAGGAGGCAAACGTCGATTTTTTTGTAGATATAGGAATTTTGTGGAGAAAAAAAAGTGCTTTTTGTTAAAGAAGATTAGATATGTAATAGTGCGAGTTAATATACGCGATTCAATCTCGTTTTCTAAGAAAATATTCATCCATAGGTCAAATCCGGCTCGAAGGTGTTTTTACCTTGTCGAGAGGTTCCTTTCTCTTTGACGCTTCGGTAGCAAACCGTTTGAATTGTAGATATATCGCGGAGGAGAGGACGATTATGCGCCTTCGATAGCTCAGTTGGTAGAGCGGTGGACTGTAGTTGGTTCCAAGTAATCTTTAAAACGGACATCCATAGGTCGCTGGTTCGAATCCGGCTCGAAGGAATATTTTTACACGTACGTGGAACCAAATTTCTTTGATCGAACAGTTTCGTCGAATAATTTGATCGAGGTTCGAATCGAAATACCATGTTTCGACGTTTTGATATGAGATAAATCGAACGAGTAGATTTTTTTTTTTTTTTTTCAATTTTGCTTGTATAGAGGGATATCTTTATGGCGTGTCTTTGAGAGGGGGAAAAAAATTGGAAAACTTTTTTCGAACGAGCGTAATATCAAGGGATTAAAAAAAATGATATTCGTTTGATTGCACGTTTCATTTCCTCGAAAAGGAATATTTTCGTAAAAAGATTCTTCCCTTTCTTTTAAAATACCAGCCAACGTGTCATTAAATTAATCATTACAAAAAGTTGGATTCGAAAAAGCAGTAGAATGTAGTTAGCTCGAGTAAACACGGTAAAAACAGGTATTCGTTAATCTTTAATTCAAATCTGGCGCGTAAAAATTGCTAGTTTGTCAATAACGATCGATATCGTGCCACTTTCATCGAACGCCTCTATGTTCTCTTAAATACGTATTGCTATTAGACAATATAATTTATACACCGTTCGTCCATTAATGATAATATTTTAACGATTAAATTGATTAAAATTATCAATATCCGATATGTGTATCTTATTATCTCTATTAAAAACACCATCTCCCAACATCCTTCGATAGCTCAGTTGGTAGAGCGGTGGACTGTAGAGGTTATGTATACGATGTTAGAGAAGACACAGATATCCATAGGTCGCTGGTTCGAATCCGGCTCGAAGGAAATTTTTTTTTTAACATCTCGAAACAGAACAATTCCTCGCAAACTCGTCATCACGACGATAATTTAATTCCTATCGTCAAATTACTCTCGATAATTCACTTAATAAATCTATCTAAATTTATCCTCCTCGAAAAAAAGAAAAAAGAAATTTCTCTTAAACTCTTACTCCAAATATCCTCAAATATCGATACTCCATAAATGCATAATCATCATTCGCTTCGTAACGAATCGAAAGATAAAATAGAAATTACAAGAATTGCAAGTTCCGACAGTGCGATTCCTTTTCTCACTCAAATTAAGCGAGTGAAACGTGGCTCGTTGCGGAGAAAATTCAATCGCCTTCGATCGACATCGATACACTTCCTCTCTCCTTTTCTCTCTCTCTCTCTTACTCTTGGAACGAGAATTTCAATTAGCGGATCACTCGATGCGAAGTGAGACGAGCCGCGTAATAGTCGAGACAAATAATTCGAGCCGCATACGTTCGATCACCCACTGACCCAATACAAGTTAATTTCACCATTTCTTCCGAAGGCAAACGAGTCAAAAGTTTCTGGAATTCAATGATCGTTTCAAATGCGCAGACCTTCCATTAGATATTATTATTATTATTATTATTATTATTATTATTATTATTACTATTATTATTATATTCGTTCAATGTTATCGTATTCGAAGGAAATTAATCGTCCACGGATTAAACCGCTGAGACTCGACAATGGGGGATCGTTATCGACGGGGGCAGAGATCGATAGGAGCGTGTTTCAGGGTCAAACGCGTCCCCGATATCATTGTGAATACATAGATCAGATAAGATATCCACGCGTTAATCCACGGAGAAATCGGGTCGAAATTGAAATGTCAACGAGATCGTGCAGTTTGACGACCAATAGTTTATCCTTTTGAAGTCCTTTTGATGAAAATTGATTGAAACTGTTAACGAAATCACTCGAATTAAACTCCTTCCTGTGTACAGTCACAAACACTACGACGTTGTCAAACTTTTCGCGCGCGCATGCGCGTTTGAGATTCGAGAAGATGAGGAGATGTTAGAAACGTTTGCACAGCGCCTGCAATTGCGGCGTTGCACAATTTCGTGCAGCTCTATTTACACGTTTCTATTTATGTTTCCAATCGAGCGCGTGTGGCGAGAAACAGCGCGGAAGAATGTTAACGAGATTCCTGCATGATCGAGCGGGTATCCCATGGAAGGAGTCGGAGACGGCCTTGCCACGGCATCAAGACACGCAGCTTTCTCCACTTTCGCTTATGCGAGATTTTCAGACCGAACTACCGGCAAACTCGTGCCGATTCTTGACGGTGTTTATCGCCTCGTGCATTCCAGTCGAGGAGCAGTACTCGTTTGTCTTCGAGTCAATTGGAAAGAGGAATCGATTCCCTCGTGCATTTTCTTCCCAGACTTGCTATGATATTTACAAAAAAAAAAAAATCGATAAATTTGTATAATCGTATTTTAATCGATTTTTAATCCTTTTGAAAAATATTCGCCTCGAGTTTTTGAAAGATGAAGAGAGAACAGAAGAGGTTAATGGGACGTGTAGAGATTCCAGAATGCTTAATTGCGACATTCGTTTGCCTCCGCAAAGTACGTGGGTGCAAACGATTCCTCCTCGTTGCGTTAATCCATGCCTCAATCCTATTATAGTCATTCATATAGAATTTTCTTGAATCCCTCGATTCCGAATTTTCTTCGCTTCAACTCTCTCATCGCATCTACTATTGTTCCGTGTTATTTTATTTTATTTTTTTACATTATTAACACTAGGACGCAAAATAAATAAAGATCGATTTAATAATTCGCGGATGGTCTTCGTTCACGATACGCGGAATAATCGTAAAATGTCCGCGAGATTCGATGCACAAATGGCTGGATCGGAATGCAAACGTCGCCTCGAGCAAGCTCGATCGTTGGTATTTCACGAGGTTGCCGTGCATTTTCCCTTCCTCTCGCGTGCCCTTTCTTTCTCCTTCGCGCGGGAAATAACGGAACACCTTTCAGAAGCTCGGACAACGATTCCAATCCCGATCCAATTTGAGCCTCGAATCAATTGAACTCGCACGGATCGGTGATCGATCGAAACGGGCCGGATCGTTGTAATTTCGATCGATTGCCCAACCGACTTTTCTTGCTACCGTGTGATTAATCGTTGCGCTCGAGTCGCGTTGGAACAGTTAGCGTTTACGCAGAGGATAAACTGGGTTAGGCACTTTGCTCTTTTACTTTTTTTTTCTTTCTTTCCTTTTTGCCTCGGATAGGGTTGAGCAACAAGGGTTTGCACAGGTTGCTTTTTTCATTTTATCATTCTGTGAAATTTTCAAGGAGAATATTTTGAATTGATCGAGACGAGAACATCTCCGATATTTCACCGTGCCAATACCATGCACGTCGAGACCTGATCCCACGCATAAAATGTAAATTGACGTGCGTGGAAAAATCCATTACTATTTCTTTAAAAAAAAAAAATTCACCACTCGATCTCTTATTCGATTTCGATCGATCGCAGCTTCGTCGTCCTTTGAACAACTGTGGAAATAAAATCTTCGAATGTCATCTTTTTATCTCTCGATTCTCGTTGTTAAAAAGAGAGAGAGAGAGAGATTCGCTGATGAATTAATTCGAGCAATAATTCGAACGCGTGAAATGGTGCGGAGCAGCGAGGGACCTTGAGCCGCCATTGCTTTACGCTCGCTGGACGGAGGAATTTCGCGGTGGAAAGGTCCTTTCTCGCGTCCGACCTACAAGCCAGAAGAATGCAGTCGTCGTTTTCTCGGGCAGAGCGTTTAAACGGCCACGTGCAACGTTCCGTTCCAATTTCCAACGCGACGAAAAACGGGCCTCGATTTCGTAATTGGCCCGGCTCGATCCTCGCCGGGCCTTGATCTTAAACCACGGCCCAATTTCGCTAAAGTTTATTCTTTCATCGCCTCGGCCAGAACTGAACCAACAAACTTTTCTTGGATTCGAGGGAGGACGAAATCGTCTTAAGATTATCTGGTCTGACTTATCCTGATATTGATATTCGAAAAGGAACGTTTCGTGATCGGAAGTTTGGAATGAAAAATATCGAAAATAAATATTTGGAACAAAATATATATATATATTTAAACGAATAAGGTATCTTCTCGATATCTTCGAACGAGGAATGCGACGAGTCTGGGCTGGAAGATGTTTTTCAGGCGTTAAAGTGGGCAAGAAATTGGAAGGAATTAGAAGAAAAAGTCGACGGGTCGTCGAGACGAGGGATTCCAAGGGTCTTCGAACCTGTTCCATTTTCCTCCTCTTCGAATAAGGATGGGACGAGAAGAGAATGAGAGACACGTAGTGGTGGTTTCCGCTGGTTTCTCTTTTATTGAATGTTCCCATCGAGGATGGTAAGAATGATAATATCACTTAGCTTTAAAAATATACATATACACGATATTATTTATATTTATATATATATATATATTTATTTATTTATTTATTTATATATATATAAAAGATTTGACTCGATACCCTTAGAAAAATAAGGGTATGTCCGCCGGTCGTTGATTTCTTCACGGGTCGTCTGTTTTTGGCGGTCGTCGATGTATATATTTTTTTTTCTTTCTTTTTTCTTTCTTTTTTTTTTTTTTTTTCTTTTTCGCCACGGAGTCACGCAGAAAGACCCCCCTCCCCCTTCAAACAAATCCTTCCATTATCCACCGTTACTCATCTGTCTCCGACAAGTTGTTTTTTCTTTTTTTTCCTTTCAGGGACACGTCGTTTATATTACACACCTATTTTTTCCACCTTCTATTCTTACATTTTTCTTTTGCCCTTGTTTCTTTCTCTCTTTTTTATCGCTCCTCGCGATCTCTCTCTCTCTCTCTCTCTCTCTTTCCAAGATAGATTTCAAAGATGACAGATAGAAATCGTCGTCTAGTTGGGAGAGAAGAGAAGAGGAGAGAGATAGAGAGAGAGAGAATAATAACAACAACAATAATAATAGTAAAGAGAATAAAAAAAAAAAATGGTCGCCGAATCTCGAAACCGTTCGAAACTTATCACAGATCGTTGATTCGACTTTAAGCTTGCCTTCACATCGTCCCCTTACTTATTAATACTTTAATCCACGACCCTTCTCCAACCCTGTCCGTGTTGCACGCATCCCCTCCCCCCTCCCCCCTCCCCCCCCGTATTATACAATTCACAATTCTTCTTGCACAAAAATTACCCTGTGTATTGGACGAAAAAAAAAAAAAAAAAAAGAAAAGAAAAAGAAAAAAAGAAGAAAGAAAAGGAAAGAATTATCCCACCGAGGATTTCGTCCGTACGAACTCGAATTCGGATGTAGGACGATCAAGGACCGAGCAAGGCAGATGGATAGGGTAGGGGAAAGGACGAGTGGGAAGCGCCGCCCTCGAGAGGCGGCAAGAGGGAGGTTCTTTTTTTTTTTTTTTCTTTTTGACTTAGAGAGAGAGAGAGAGAGAGAGAGGAAAATAAAAAAAGGAGGAGGAGGAGGAGGAACGGGGCCTGGAAGAGGGCTCTAGAGGATCTCTAGAAGAACCCGTCACCGGTCGGATCGTTCACCCACGGATAATTGTTGGGGCAACGGACGCATGTCTGAAGATTGATGGTCTCCCCTGGGACCTCTTTCGAGGTGAGCTTGCAAGTGTGGGGTACCCAGCAAGCGGGCGGCCCGTCTACCACGCACTTCTCCTTCCACGGCTCGAAACTCTTCGACTCCGTTATCGTGCGGGGATTCTGGATCCATTGGATCACCTGGGTCATCGTAACGAAATAAACGTCGTTGTGGTTAGATAGAACCTCGTCTATCCAGTATAGGAACGCGTCCAAGAACTCGGGATTGTTCTTGAGCCAGGCGGCGTGGAAGTAGAGGCCCAACGGGGCCCTGTTCTGCTCGTAGTGGCGGTCGAAGTTGTGGTTGAGGAAGTTGTAGAATTGGTCACCTGTCAGGATGTTGCTGCACGAGTCCACCATTGCGCAGCCGGGCAGGTACTCGTCGTTTTGGGGATCCTCGCGACGATCCAGCTCGTTCATCACCATCTCCCAAACGGCGTGCGACCTGTGCCACGCAGAAATCGGTGGGGCATACGATCGAGAGATCTCGAATCGAGCTGCTATGAAATCGTTACGTATAGCTGCTCGACTCGAGCCCATGTGTATTTTTCATTTCTCTATACTTCGAATCGATTTTTCTTCCACGGAAATCGAGGGAAATACTTTACGAAGAAGAATCGGCGATCGAATTATTTCGATCGGATGGAAAGTTTTTCTGTTTTTTTTTGTTTTTTTGTTTTGTAAGAGAGTGTTACCTGGTGGGGCAATGTTGAAGGTTGCCGTGGCAACGGTGCGGCATTCTGAAGTACATCGTGTAGGGCCAGAGCGGAGGGTTGTTGAGGGCCGCTGTGATGGTGGAGTCGTAGAGGAACGCTTGCTCCTCCATCATGGTGAACTGGTTGTTCCCGCCCACTCTGAGGTAAGGGGCCCTCACGCCGACCACGCTGTTGTCCGTCAAATTGGCGAATTTCTCGGCGATGATCCTCATCCCCGCCATTTCCTTAGCCCAGTCGTCCACCGTGGCGTCCGACCAGAAACGCTCATCGTCGTTGTGACTTGAAACACCATTATTTTATTACGCAATTAATATCTAGTAGACACTTATAGATCCCGTTAGATCCCGGAACGATCCCTAAATCGATCGATGTTTAAAAAGAACCTTAAGAAAATTAGTAATGAATCGATCACGAAATTTTAATCTTAACGTTCGTAAAACCGAAAATTAATCTTATTTTTGATTTAATGATTTTTTAAAAGATCGTAATGTATCAAAGGGTTAAACATTTTTAGAAATTATTAATAGACACTCGATGATTTTTTGATTCGTTGTTGAAAAGCTCGTTGAATGATAAACAATTGTGCAAAGCTGGTACCAAAAGAGATAAAAATTTTTAAAAATTATTAATCTTAGGAAGATCTTGAAATTTTAATCTTATAAAACTGAAAATTAATTTTATTTTTAAATTCTCCTGAACACTCGTGCAAAACTGGTACCAAAAGGATTAAAATTTTTTTTAAAAATAATTAATGGAAGATCTCGAAATTTTAATTTTAATATTCGTAAAACTGAAAATTAATTTTACTTTTTGATTCGTCGTTGAAAAGGTCAATGAATGATATACAATCGTATAAAACTGGTACCAAAAGAGTTAAAAATTATTAATGGAAGATTTCAAAATTTTAATTTTAATATTCGTAAAACTGAAAATTAATTTTATTTTTAAATTCTCCTGAATACTCGTGCAAAGCTGGTACCAAAAGGATCAAAATTTTTTCAAAAATAATTAATAGAAGATCTCGAAATTTTAATTTTAACATTCGTAAAATTGAAAATTAATTTTATCTTTCGATTTTTGCCCGAACACTCGTACAAAACTGGCACCAAAAGGATTAAAATTTTTTCAAAAATAATTAATGGAAGATCTCGAAATTTTAATTTTAACATTCGTAAAATTGAAAATTAATTTTATTTTTAAATTCCTTCGAACACTCGTACAAAGCTAGTACCAAAAAGATTAAAAATTTCTTAAAAATAATTAATGGAAGATTTCAAAATTTTAATTTTAATATTCGTAAAATTGAAAATTAATTTTATTTTTAAATTCCTTCGAACACTCGTGCAAAGCTAGTATCAAAAAGATTAAAAATTTCTTAAAAATAATTAATGGAAGATTTCGAAATTTTAATTTTAATATTCGTAAAATTGAAAATTAATTTTATCTTTCGATTTTTGCCCGAACACTCGTGCAAAACTGGCACCAAGTGTACCAAAAGGAAGCGCGCAAGCGTGGAAAAAATCAAAAGTGGAAGAAAAATAAATGAATTTTTCAAAGATCATTTCCTTACGAGATGGAGTGAACGGCGATCTCGTGTCCTTTCCTGTGCATTTCCTGGACGGCCGAGTAGTTGGTGTACTTGTGAGAGACGAAGAAGGTGGCCTTGATGTCGCAACCGTTCGGGTTCTTGCGTTTCCCGTTGAAGATCTCTTTGTAAAGGCCGATATTATTGTTGTTGATGGCGTCATCGAACGTGATCGTGATCATCTGCGGCACGTCCTTGGGGGGCAGATCGCCGGGGATCGTGGTGCCGTCCTCGGAGCAGAAGCAATCTGGAAGGACGCACACGGACGGGTCGCAGGGTGGCGCTCTGTTCGGGTCGTTGTCCATGTCTGCAATTAATCCGCCGCCCCTTCGATCTTTATCTCGCATCGATATCGTGACAAACACGTACGAAATTCTCCGCGCGAAAGTGTATAAATCACCTCGAAAGTGTATAAATATCAGAATCTCAATATAATAATAAACTCGATAGTTTTCACTTGGAATTTCACCTTTCGGTGAAAATTGAATTTCTATATTCTCTGTATCAACTGTATATAAGAGAGAGATCGAAGTACGTGCCGTACGATCCCTTCGAGAATATTCGAATAATCGAGCTCACCGCAGATATTTTCGTCCGATCCATCGGTGCAATCCTTCTCCCCGTTGCAGAAGAGGCCCCTCTCGATGCAAGAACCGTCGCCGCAAGCGAGGTAGCCGTCCTGGCAGAGCGGCTCCTCGGTGTACAGAAGAGGCTTCGCCTTCCTCTCCTTGTTCTTCAGCTTGCAGTTGTTCACCGAGTCCTTCCAGTCGCAGGTCTGCTTGTCGATGTCGAAGTACAGTCCAGCCGGGCACCTGATCGCCTGCAGCCCGGAACTCGTGCACTGGATCACGTCCCTGCAATTGTCACCCTCCCCTGCCACCAGTCTGAACCATTCGCCCGCATCCTTGTCCTTGCAGATCTCGCTCTCGAAGCTCTCCTCCTTTTTATCCTCTTGCCGCTTCACGCGATTCGAGCCCTCTAGAAATAATGTAGAATAAAACCCTTTAATGGCAGCAAGATGAAATCGCGGGAAATCATAGAAGAGGATTTTTAGAGGAAGGAAGAAGAAGAAGAAGAAGAAGAAAGTTGCGTGAAAGTTGTGCGTGCACGTGGATGGTCGAGAGGGAGAAAAATTTATATTTCCTTTTTCTGATAAAAATTTCTTTCTCCAGACAGATTATTGCGGTGGTAAAATCTATCCGTGCAAAATTACGAGGATTGACGGTGTATAAAATAGAAATTTCTCCTCGGATTATTAATGAAAATTCATTATTTCGAAAGAAGATGCAACGTTATCTCTTCCCGGGATTTGTAATTTATCGTTGTAACGATCGACGTTGAATGAACACGATAAGTTTGTATGGTAATAAACGCGTTTTGGCAATCTCTTTGCTATTGATGTAATTCTTCTTTTTTTTTTTTTTTTTAGTTAGTTTCACAGATGTCACGGATAAAACTGTTTACATAAAACATCTTAACGACGCACGGATTTCTTCGAGTGAAATTTCGAGGCACGGCAATTGCGTAACCGCGAACGTATCGGCGGCGAGATTATGGAAAGTGTGAAATTAACGCCAATAACCACGTATATCCGTTTATTCATTCCTCGATTTATTTATTCTTCGATTAAGCGAAGAATAAATTGTTTTTTTCTCCTTTCTTCCAGGAAGAAATTTTCCCTCCCTCTCATTATCGCCACGGTGTATAAAATTCAACAAAGAAGAAGAAGAAGAAGAAACAAAAATCGAATTAATAATTAATCAATAATTATCATTCGCACGGTCAATATTTATCCACATTACGTAACCCATTCTCGCACAAAAGTAATTCTTTCTCTATAAATTCTTCTCTCAAATTATATAAAAATATAATATAATATATAATAATTATATATATAATAATATAATAATATATAATAATAATAATATAATAATATATATAATAATTATATATAATTATATATAATAATATATAATCGAATATATCTTTCTCAAATATATCTTTCTCTCTCTCCTTTGTTCCTCAACGCTTGGTGGAATCGTTGGCACGACACGTGGCGTTGTTTTCGTTCCGATTGCGGGGACGAGGGGAAATGTGCGCGGAATCGTTCCGCTCGAGGGACGGCGAATTTTTTTTAAACGGCCAGTCGGAAACACGTGTCGATTCTCTCTCTCTCTCTCTCTCTCTCTCTCTTCGGCCCGCTCGAAGCCGTTAATATCAAATATCAACGTACGGCAGAAGGACGGAGAAAGCTGCCTCGCGCCTTTCGAAACGATACCCGCTTTATTAGCGCGATTTTACGCGAAGGTAAAATCGCGCCTTGCTCTTCGGTTCGTAGTGGAGCGTTCGAGGCAAGGTTGCATCTTTTCGAGAGAAAGTCCTCTCCTTCCTCCTCTCCGGAATAAGTCTCGGAAACAGACGAGTGTATAAATTGGCGGAGAGAAGATTTTGAGAGATAAAGCGGATAAAAAGTGAAATCTCGACGCGCGATCGAGGAAGAAAGTAAAAATTATATTCGAAAGATCTGTCTCGAATTAACACTCGATTCCTTTGCAGATCGATTAATCACTTTCAAACACTTACGCTGAATATTATATATACATATATAGAGAGAGAAAGAACAACGAGCATACTGACCTTTCCGAAAACGGTCTATAAAGCGCCTCCATAAGCGAATTGAGAATTACATAAACGACCGGTTCGAAACGAATATCGTTACACGAGAGCGTGCAAATTTTCGATTCGTATCGAAACCCATCCAACAGAAATTCTTTACGAAAATGAGCGAGGCACGAAAATTCATACTCAACAAAAAAAAAAAAAAAGAAAAGTATCTCGTACAATTTTTCCGTTTTCAAAATCGGAGATTGAACCTCGAAATGAAACGGAAATAAAATCGAAAAATGGGGCCCTAGATTCCCCTGGGTCCAGTCCAGCAGCGTCGAGCAGCGCCGCGACGAGCGGGGAAAGTTGAACGCCCCTCCCCACCCCTCGATGTATTTTTCAGGGCACGGCAGTGACGTCACCCATCCGGGACCGAGCACAGAACCCACAGAGGCTTTCACGCTCTAATCTCTTATGCAACCTGTCGTCTCCGTCCACCGGCGGAATAGCATTCGATTCTTTCTCTCTCTCTCTCTCGAGTCGAGCATCAACCGAGACACCGATCGTTGATTAACTTCGAACACTGTTCCCATTTCACTGTGGCTCACGTGCTCTTTGTTCCATCGATCTCTCTCTCTCTCTCTCTCTCTCTCTCTCTCTCTCTCTCTCTCTCTGTGCTTCAATGTTAGTCTCATAGGACACGTGAGGCGAACCAGTCTCTCGAGGAGAAAACGATCCATTGTTCGGTGCAACGGGAGTCCTGTTTTCGATCCGTTGTTTCTCTTCGCGTACCGCCATCGCTCGTAGGGGAAAAATTACGGGCGAAGAAGCGACGTGTCCTCCCGTAATAATCGCAGGGGGGGGGAGGGACACCGGGTCGTGGGCGGATCGACACGGGTCGAAATTCAATCCCATATTGAAAATTGCCGCACGAATCACGAATCACGAATGCCACCATGTTTCCCCACTCGCTGCCATGTTTTCTACTCTAGAACCCTAGAAACTATCCGTCCATCTACTTTTTTTAACTAACCAAAGGTATCACTATCCTCTCTCTCTCTCTCTCTCTCCCTCTCTCTCATTCTCAACGTTCATCAGATCGTCATTATATTTATCATCGTCAACATGATCGCGGCAAAGGGCAATAGAAGAACGCACAACGGAACTTGGTTCACAACGTGTTGGGAAGCCAGCAAAACTTTCCTTTGCTTACTCACCGGCGAGAACAATGGCCGCCAGGAACAGCAGCACAAGCGAGGACCTCATCCTCGTCGTAAGCGCTTCCGGATCCCGATCTGTCCCGTGATCGCGTATCGGACGAGATGATAATTTATTTCACTCTCTTTCTCACTCTCTTTCTCTCTCTCTTTCTCTCTCTCTCTAACTCTCCCTTTCTGCCCAATCTTTTTAGTCTCGAAGAATCCTATGCCTCGACGACGCACCGATCGAACGAAGTTATCTCGCGAGTTATCGAATCCAATCCGATCACCAATTCTTCTTCTTCTTCTTTCGAATCCGGAAGGGGGGGGGGGCTCTCTCTCTATCTCTTTCTCCGAGGAGATCGAGTTTCACGCTTCAAGGACGCGGAATTGGAAGGCGTGGGTACCGTTCACGGACTGACCGAGGCCCGCCACTCGTCGCGCCTTATATTTCCACCACCACGATCGTACCCCACGTTCAGCCCCCTCTTTCTTCGATCGGTCGAACGATCGTGTGCCGATCCGTCGCCTCGCTCGCTCGCCTCCCGGGATGCAATGGCGTAGGAGTGCTCGTCCGTTTTATAATACTCTTTCGTTTTATAATACTTTTAAAACAGTGTTTGAGCATTGGATTAAATTAAAATGCATTGGTTAAAAGTGGATAATCGCGGGCAATCGTTGTCGAGGGAAAGGTGGGTATTCGTTTAAGGGGAAAAGTAGAATTGTAGTGGAATGCGTTAAGTGGTTCGGTTTCTTTCTTCGGATGGGTAAAGAGGGAATGTTGGATTATCGTTTTTTTTTTTTTTTTATTTGGTTTAATTAATTGGAATCAATTCAATTTATGGAATTAATGGTGATAAAGGATGTTAATTTTTGCCGTCATCATAGGTTTTGTGAACGAGCTTGTTCCAAGATGAAGAGTTGCGTGTTCGAGGGAACATGTTATTTTATACGTTGTACTCGAGGAATTATTTATAATTTTCTTCTATTTATAATTTTTGCTGCTCTTAATTTCGATCGATACGCGGTTCACGCGATCTGCTTCGAAAATTTCGAAAATTGCCCGAAAGAAACGTAAACAGGATTCCGTTACGAGTTTAAAAAATTTTCGATTCACGATAATCGAGCACAATTGGAAGAGATTCCGATTTCGTGGCCATTGAAAAAGTTCGAAATTCGAAATTCTCGATCGGTGGATCGCTCGATCGAAAAATACGTGTACGAGGGTAGATCATTTTTTTTTCAATTTTCGAACAACAATGGTTAGGGAAGAACGGGCATTTTTCGCGATGAAGATTTTTACGTAACGGAGAAAATACGCATGTTTTCCGTCGGCGAAACACGAAAACACGAGCTCCGCTTGCCACGAAAGTGAAACGTTGCTCGGATGCAACTGCACTCATTCAGCCGTAGATGCAACGTGACTGTGATCCCAGCAACCCATTTGTCTTCCTAATTCTCCCTTCTTTCCATCATTTATTCCCTCGAATCTCGAACGAATTGCTTCGAAAGCAAGAAAAATCGAAATAATATAACACAAAATATATTCACCTTACCTTGAAACATCCACTAGAAGATATTCCACGATTGACGGGAAGGAAAAGAATTCGATGGAATTCAAGAAGGAATAAACGAAAATAACTCTTCAAGTTCTTCTTTAAATCTCTGAGAAGCTCGATCTGGATCGATCCTCGGCTGATCCTCAGGGAGATACGCGGACTTTGGATCGAGTCGACGCACTCCAAATGCCAGCGACTCGATCCGAGGCGAACAGATGATCGGATGGAATTTACCCTTTGCCGATTATAACAACCGCGTGCCCTCTCCTTCTAGAAAGGGAGAGAGAGAGATTTTTGCGAAGTGGTCGAATTATGAATGGAACACGATTGTTTTTTAAGAGAATCAGGTGAATCTATTGTGGTGCTCGTGTCGATGAAATTGTGTGACTGGCAATATTTGAATTCGTAATAATGGTTCGCGTTGTTTAAGTATGAATGAAGATGATAAAAAATAAAATGGAATATTTGCATTGTAATTAGCAATCGTCCGTGGAATTTCCTTGATACAACCCTTCGAAGAATCTAGGTTGAGAAGGGAAAGAGCGTTGCCTCGACCGAGAGATAAATTTTCTTCTGCGGATACGTTTTGGACCCAAGGCCGCGTGAAGGTCACGCTCGCGCTGCAATAAAATATAATATACGAAAAAAGAGAGAGGGAGGGAGGAAGAGAAAGAAAAGAATCGAGGAAAATTTACTCGAAAATTATCCTAAAATGGAGGATGGAGATCGAGTGTTCCCAAAAATTGACGAATTTCGAATTTCGAATCGAAGGAAAAAAAAATAAAAGTGAAATCGTTTATCTCGCGTTTCTGGTTGGCACATCGGTTCTGCGAACAGTCACGAACCCGTGCGCGAACACGTATCGAAATTTCATTGTGAAACGAAACAGCGAACCGGCTCCTCGGATCGGCGTTTATCGTTAAATCCAGCCGCAGGAATTTGCCCTTTGCGGAGCAGAAGCGACTTCGTTGTCCTCTGTGTGTGTGTGTGTGTACTTCGATTAATCAAATGGTATTCGTTGCTGTTCGTTTGGAAAAATCACGAGATGAATGAATTCCGATCGAATTTTTCGAATTAAGAATAAATTACATCGATTGGAGAAAAGTATTTTATTCTTCTGTCAGCATTGGCAACAGGCAAAGAAATTCTTCGTAAAATTTGCTTCCTCGTGAGATGCTCGAACAGATCCCTCGAACCGGTGATTATTCAAATTAGCGAATAACAACGAGGAGGAGGAGAAGGAGGAAGTGCAGAGTCTGTTCTCGTTGGGATGTATTTAGAAAGCGATCAGACAATTATCCCTATTTACGAAGTCACGAATGCACTCACGTGTGCTTAGAACGTTGTTCAAGGATCACATTGTAAAATGATAATTTTTCTCAATCGAAGAGATCGATAGAACGTTTGTCGCGATATCTCATTTTATCGATGGGTAATGGACGAATGCGCCGGGATCGAAATATCCATCAAAACTCTAAAGTTCACAGATGAACTAATGTCTAAAAGCGAAAGGTAAGCAGGCGCCATGAAACCGAAACGTTTAGCGTGTAATAAATTACGTAACATCCACGTTTCTTTCTATCACGAGATCGCGATGATTCTCGGCGAATGATTGATCTGTTCAAAGAGAGAGAGAGAGAAAGAAAAAGGATGGAAAAGAAGCGAGCAAATGAAATTGAAAAAAGAGAGACACGTCTGTTTCGTTCTTCGAAAAGATTCTTATTTTTATCGCGTGACGAGGATTCCTTCGGCAGAATGGAAGAAAATCGAAGAAAGGGAACGAGGTCCGTTATCCTTCGAGTGTCTATTTAAAGAAATGATCGCGCGGAATGCTAATGGTCGTTTCCTCGCTGCCTCGAAAAACATTCAATTCGCGCTATCCGATCGTAAAATTTTACTCGAAGCCGTCGTTGATTCGACGACATGCGCTCGTCGATTATGATTAATTTCGCGGTTAAACGCATCATGGCGGCCCTTTCGATGGCGCTTCGGTCGTTCGCGAATCATTAATCGTGGTGGATCGGTGTTTGTTTGTTTGTTTTCAACGCGAGACAATGGAATCGTTGGAAGAATTATGAATTTTCATAATAATCGCGATGATCGGTTGTTAAGTTGCAAAATTTTCAGATGAAATTTTCTTTCTTTTTTTCGAGTCGCCAAAGTGAAACCGTCCATTGATTTTCTTACGAACGAGACGTTTGACAATTTAACGAACGTTTCATTGCAGCCGGATGTCGAGTCGAGTCGAGTTAATTGAAACGGGACCACCAATGGTTCTCGAGTTTTTGTACGTACTTTACGATCCTGTTTATTAGATGGGTAAACTGGTGCTCGTTTTTTCGAAACTTTACTTTGAAATTATTAAAAAGAGAAAGAAGTAAGAGCAAAGATAAATTGCTGTGTTCACTCGTTCGATGAAATATCCGTTCAAATAAAGCTCGATCGAATGATCTGCACACGTTTCTCCGACACCATCTAATTCTTCCAATAAATCTATCTCGTTCTTAATTCTCTTTCTGAATCTAAATTTACCCTCCTTCTCCTGAAACTTTAACCTACTCGCAGAAATTCTTTTAAATTTCAATCGTTCGTAAAAAACACCTTCTTCCAAAAATAGAACGGAAAATATTTTTCATAATCTCGACTTTCCGTTTCCACGAGGAACAGAAAGTTCACTTTTTTCTTTTAAAAGAAAAATTTTAGCATCGATGACGTTAAAATGAAACGAGATTTATCTCGGTCCAATTGATCGGTTCGACGAGGAACCGAGTGATTAGCGCGCAGGGCAAGATCAAAGCCACTCTCGATCACGGTTATCACGGTGATCCCCTCGAATGAACTTTGAGGTCGCCACGTGAAACGGTCCCGATCGTTATCAGGGCACGAGGCACGATTCCAATGGAAATCGTGCGGCCCTGGCGCGACATATGCCGGTGAAAGGGAAAGAAGAGGAGGAGGAGGAGAAGGAGGAGGCAACCGCGCCGGTATCAGCTGAAGCCGGGCTTTCTCTGCCCGCGGCAAAAGCGTGCCTGAAGCCGCGTCGAGCCTCTTTCCGTTTCGTGCATCGAGCTCCATCTCGCGTGCACCGCTCGACACACGCTCTGATCCACGATCCACGAGATTTAACGATCGAGCTTCGCGTCTCTTCGATCGATACAGCGTTTTGTATTTACATATAGAGGAGATTTTGATTACAGGGAGGAGTCGATATTCTTGTTGAAAGATGATAATTAATTATTTTTCGAAAATGTTTTAATTTAATGAAGAAAGAAAGAATATCTCAAAGTTTGAAAAGATTTATAATAATATTTATGATAATATTTAGATTTATAATAATATTTAGATTTATAATAATATTTAGATTTATAATAATATTTCAATTTCTTTTGAACGAAAATTTTTCCTTCGAAAAAAGGGAAAGATCCCCCATTTTCCAAAAAAATAATTTTCGAAACATTGCACAACGTTCAAAGTATCGATTAAAGAGCGAGACGAATAATAGCAACAAATTATTATATTTACAAATAGGTTTAATATGGGTGAAAGGGGGTTGAAAACGGAGGCCACCTGGTTGGTTAATTCGCTTTTTGGTTAATCTCTACTCGTTCATTGCCGCAAAAAACGGAAATCCAGGGACTCGAGGCAGAAAAAAAAATCGAAGCAGCCTCCTTCCTTTGCCTCTGCAGAGAGGCAACTGTTGCATCCAGAGGACTTGACCCCGCTCGTCCTTGGCCGAACGCTCACTCCAGTCATCCTCCTCCGACCACCCCTCTGTTCGACTCTCTGTCTCTAATGGCATTATCATTGTTCCCAACAGAAGATGAACCG